AAGATCTCCATATACCCCATATTCTATCTACTTAAGGGGGACTATATACCTTGGGTACTGCCCCCACCCAGTAACAGTCTATATTAGGGGTCCTATTAAGGGCTATATATAACCATATTGTAATTATTATCCAGCTGTTACTGAGGGGGGGCAGTGCCCAACCTAAACCCCTAAAACCCTAAACGATGCAGCGCCAAGAAGCCGGACCATACAGGAGATGCACTCGGGGTTCTTGCAATCCAAACCTTAGATACAGTCAGCCATGGCTTAGGCTTAGCGCGTTATGTAGGGGATACATTGGGGATATATTTGGATAATGGAAAAGAAAACGGAAGCTACTATCTATCCAGGGCTGAGGGTTCGGGGGATTGTCGGGCCTAGTTCAAGCTACAAGCTGTCCCATGTAACTACACTGTGGAGACAAGCGGGTGTTTGTTATGGTCTGCCATAAGTCTTTCTTATACAAACCTACCATTGGCGTGATCTTTTGTGCCGCATGACCAATAGCAAGCTTTCATCAATCAAGTCACTATACAAACTCTGCTGACAAGCAGCAACACCCGCAGGATCCACCGGGACATCGTTGCTCGAAAATGTCCTCTGCACCGTGTGGGCTGCAGTCTAAACTCGTACACCCCTTAATAACCCCCATACTACGCCCTATACAATCCCTTATATCATAATAACCCCCATGATACGCCCCTATATAGCCGCTTATATCCTTAATCACCCCCATAATACTCCCCTGTAAATTCCCTTACATTACCGCCTTTAAGAAGTTTAATCCCTAAACCCTAAATAAAGTGGCGGGGAGCATGTAATTCGCTACATAACCCCTAAACCCTATAAACCCTACATAAACTCCCTTTGAAGGGGTTAGGTTATAGCTTTGGGACATGACATGTTGGCTTCAGGCTGTCAATATGGCATGGAGGAATGAATCCCTGGAGTAGCCCTTATTTGTTACATTGGGTTTAGGGTTTTAGGGTTCAGGGTTGTAGGATTTAGGGTTACATATGAGCTATAGTTTAAACTCCTAGCTAAACCCTTGGTAGCCCCCCCATGGTAGTCCCCTATGTATTCCCCTATACAACCCCCTTTAAGGAGTTTAGACTATAGTACATGTATTCCCCAATAATGTCGTAGTCCCCGATGTCTCTGTCATTCTTCAACTCGTAGTCACGAACAGCAAGCGTTTAGCTGATGCGAGCTCAACTCATCAAACTCCTGTGCGCTGACAGTCGGGGGGTTTCTCAAAACTAGGGGTCCCTTTGTGAGGGGTTCCTATAAGACGGGTTATAATATTTTGGAGTCTAGTTTAGGGTCCCCTTATTCAGGGAAACTACCAGTTACTGATGAGGCATTGTCACTTACTGGTGCGGTGCGCTTTCTGGGGACAAGGAATCAGGACACCCAGTGTCACCTCCTCACCCTTTCGAGCCATCCTATACCCTAAGCCCAAGGAGTGTTGAGCCTTGGCTTTCAATGCCAGAAAAACTGATGATTTGAGGGATTAAACCCTGGTACTGCGACTGCATTGCCACGCTGGCTGAGTGTAGCCTCGCAGAAGAAATTATAGCATATTATAGCATATTCTCTGATATGTTATGCTAGCATATGAGATGCTCCCAGTACAATGGCGGCTGAGACTGCAGCCCAACCCCACTGCTTCGACACATCGATGTTGAGGATCATCGAGACGGGCCTGCGCAGCCACACTAAGGGGTTTTGGGGGTTACCGCACCGGGCTTCAGGGTTCGCGGTTTGTTGAGGTTGGGGCTAATGCTCTTTCACCAGGACATATACCCTGCCTCGAGCTAAAAAGTTAAGCAAGACCCGAGGACTACGACTATGACTATCTATGAACAGAGGACAGCCCTCACCACGTTCACCAGTTGATGACTATCTGTGATTACAAATCGCACCATTACCCTACAGCCGCCAGCAACGAGCGCCACTAACTAATCATGTACTATGCTTCCCAAAGCTGCCTTGGCTCTACAATTATGGATACCTCGCGCGGGAGGTTTCAAGACAAGGGGCCCCATTATAGACCTCAATATGGTAGTTCCCAGAATAGGGGGACCCCAATATAGACCCTAATATACCATAATCCCTATTATGGGGGCCTCCAAAAAGGTACCCCTAATTTTGGTAAACCTCAATATACTGCGACCCTTCCTATAGGCACTCCGAAAAGGGACCGCCAATATCCCAACGCCCGCCAAAGGTAAACTAGGTTGCTGATAAGGCACTTAAATTAAGTTACCATAATGGGTATATATAGTAAATAATAAGGTTTCCCCAATACAGTAACTTAATTTAAGTTTCTTAACAGCAACCCAGTAAAGCAAAGCGTGGCCGAGATGCTCCAGCAGGAGCTTGCGTGCCAGCAACGTGCCCAAGGGCTTGCCATCACGAGTCACAGCCTTGCCGACTACCAGGGTCGTAATACCCCAGGAAGCACAATACCCTGTAAGGAAGGAGTATTTGTTGAGCTCGTAATTAGTTGAGATGTACGGCAGTTCTGAACGCGCTTTCCGGAAAAAGGAAAGCTCTGTAAACACATGTTCCAACAACAGAAGATACTGAGTTCGCTCACAGGACACAAGTTGAGCCCCGTCCGATGGCCATTGGTTCAAACTTGTTTCAAGGAGACTGCGGTGTCCGTGGTCTAGCCTGAGTTGTCTTACATCGACTAGAACTCTGGGAAACTGCAGGATAATTGCTGTACCTGTCTGGGGCTGACATTCACGTGGATCAGGGTGCGCTCGCTGTTGGGGCGTGCTGTGCTTACCACAACTTGTTGCGGGTCCTAAGGATTTGAGGTAGGATGGCATTACAGACTTTGAGCAGTTTACGGGTTTCTTAGAAATATTGGTGAATGTACTGATATGGTGTTTCCATATATGTTTTCCATATGTACAGCGAGTTGGGAGAATGTACATTGAAATCATCGGCCGTGTGCCGGAAGTACACGTGAACTAACGAAACCTAAGCCCTAAACCCTAGCTAACCCCTTTGGAGGTGTGTGTTTGCGGTCGTCTCGGAAAAATCGCTATTAGGGTTGAGGGTTTGAGGGGCTGTGTTTGGTCTTAAGGAATTTGCGATTTTCCATAGTTCAAATTTTAAACCCTAAACTCAATGGATCCCCCCCCCCCAGTATACTACAATCCTTATCTAGGCAATCCTCGACGCCAAATATTCATCCCCCTCCCACATCCCTAATACTCAATCATTCCCACTAGTTATATATATACATATATAGATATAGATATATGTATGTATGTATATGTATTTATGTACATATTATACATCATATTGAGAATACTTTTTGGTAATCTTCGATATCAGGGGGACGGAGGGTTGTTACTAATCGGGAGAGGGCAAAGACCAAATCCAGGGCCCCGGCCAAGTTGCGCTCCAGCATCGCAGCATCCAATCTGCGGGTTGCAGACTTTGTGACAGTTTCCATAAACAGACAATTTCCATGAACAGGGGCCCGAATTATAGACCTACTAGGAGCACTGCCAAAAGAGGGCCCTAATCAGCGGAAACCCTCACATGTGTGTGAGCTTCAAGTCGAAGCACAACACACACCCAGCGTAACTAGAGATGCCTGGAACCTGTCCACCCTCAACATCCCTAAGGTCCCTAAGGCTTAAAACTGAGCCTGCTACATGAACATCGCAGTAGTCGTGGGAGGGCTGGAGAGAGCATGGCAGAACGACCCAGCAAGAAATGGACAGACTCACAACAAGCACCAAGGGGAAAACAAGGAGAAGCAAGCAAGCGGCTAATTACCCAGGCCTCGACCTACACTAAAAGCAGTGATGATAGTAATAATAACAGTGTGATAATCATAGTAATATTGATAACCAAGCTATTCATACTAGTTTAACAGTTTAACAGTAAGATGATGCTCCGTGAAGGCTCCCTCGGGGCTTGCACAGAACATTACCTTGCTTAGTTCTGGTCGCTGTTCAGTACATTTCACATGAAGTCGACCCTTCAGCGGCCAGTTGTTGCCCTTGACGTCGTGTTGTTGTCAGTCGCATGTTGACCATTCATGCCACCAAAAGTCTTCTTGCGACGAAAACAGCCTCCACCCCCCCTAGCATGCAAACAGAAGGGGGCCTCCGACGAATTGACTGGACAAAACTTGTGGACCCAACAAGCCCAAAAAGGATCTTGGCGAAGGGCGGTGACTTCGATGAAGGGAAGAACATGGTTTACGAATCCGTGCCTCAGAGCATGATATTCCTCAATTCCTGCCTCTTATCTTGCACCCGGGCTAGTTGACGAAACCGCAACCCCAATCAAACCCAGACGAAGGGGGCGAAGGTCGAAGCTTAGACGGAGGGACGAGGGTTGGACGAAGGCCAGGGAGCTTGGACGAACCTTGTCCAGGGTTGCCCTAACCCTAAGGCCGGCGACCTGAAGATAATATAGCCCCAAATACAACCCCTAATACTAAGGCTGGCGACCTGAAGAGTAGCTTGCCATCCATCCAGAAGGTGAGAGCTCCCTTCCCTGCAGTG